TCTTTGCCTCATCAAAACTCACAAAGGTTTTCTCCCATGTGTTTTTCTAGTTTTGTAGTTTTATCTCTTACATTTAGGTCTATGATACATTTTGAGTCAACTTTTGATATACATTTTTTAGGGCCACATAAAACACTAACCAAGGTAGGCCCTATAGTGGGCCATTGATACAATGGAATATTATTCAGTGATTAGAAAAAATGAGCTATCAAGCCATGAAAAGAAGAAATCTTAAATGCTTACTCCTAAGTGAAAGAAACCGGTCTGAAAGGGCTATGTACTGTATGATTCCAACTCTATGACATCTGGGCAGGGAGGACTTGAAATACCTGATTTCAAGACTAATCAAAATATTTTGGTTTGCAGACAGTGACGATGGGAAAGATGGTGCTAAATGCCGGAAGTTGTATCGCCTACCTTAAGGGCAGAGTTGATGAAGACCCGGGGGAATTCTGCCTGAAGGGAAGGAATGCAGGAGGAGCACTTTCCTTTTGGAATGTGGTTCTTGTGTGAAACAGCACAGGACTGATAGCAACTGAGAAACACTCGTAACTGACCATACAGGACTGAAGAATACTTTCAGTGAGCATCTGCAGCAGCATGCCAGGTCTTGATGTCAGCTGCTAGCACTCTGGCAGGATTCTTCCTTCCTTCCATCCATGTACTTTAGATCACTTCACAGTCTCCTAAAACCTCCTGCTTCTCACGCAGGCCATGTTCTGAGGAAGACCTCCAGCTCCTCCTGCCCCCACCCCCCTGCTCCTTGGGCGAGCCCTGATACTTCCAACTTCACTGGGAGTGTCAGAGGGACAGGGGATAAAGCTGGGTGGAGGGAAACAACACACACAGAGCACGGTATGTGACTCTGGATGCCAGGGTTCCAGGTCTCGCTCTGCTATAGTTTCTAAACCCATCATTGGCTCTCTTTTTCCAACTGAAAATTGAGGGAATTGGACCAAATGCCTAAGAAATCAACTCCAATGCCCAGTGGTCCTATGGTTCCACGGCAGATGTCAGGGACGACACGGAATTGTACCTGCTGCTTCATCAGCACTGTTGAGCTCTGCAGCCTCACCTCACCACCCTGGCGAACCACACGAGCACCTCACCAGTACTCAACCTATAGCAATTCTGAGTTGCATCTTACCTTTCTTATTTACTGTTCTCTGATCTGGAGATTCCATGGTAAAGAATCATTTGTTTTCTCAGTCAGTTCACTGTCAAAAGTATTTAAGGGATGATTTTCTTAAATGGTGACCTTTCAAAGTCAACATTTTCTGTGCTCTCTACTCTTTATACCTGCATCTCTCTCCGTATGCTTCACAGACTCTCCTTTCTTATCTGATTATATCATCCTATTAAACGTGCCGGAGGGGCAGGCTGGCGTTTTAAATCCTCCCTTGCCACGTGCAGGCACTGGGATGTAGATTGCCGAGCTGTCTCTGGATCATAATTTGGCTCTTTCAAATACAATGTCCATGAAGGCTGGGATTTTTTGGGGGGTGGGGGCGGTGGGGCGGTGTCTGCTTTATTTGCAGATGTTTCCACAGTGCCTAGACCGAGGCCTGACCCATAAAGGGTTACGATCAACGCCGCTTAATGAATAAAGGGATGAATGAGTCTAATTAGCGACGGAACCGGGTCTAGAATTCTCCCAACTCTCAGCCACTGGTCCTTTCCCATGACTACAGGTGCTCTCTCCTCTCCCGCTCCCTTTCCTTCCGTCGTTTCGGGGGCGTCTGATGTCAGGACTGTGGGGGCCAGGCCCGGGAGTCTTCCCTGCCCCGCAGTGACAGAGGCGGGGGCGCCGCGGGGCTCCTCGCGGGGAGGCGAAAGCCGACTTCCCCGGGGACGCGGCCAGAAGGTCGG